TATTAAAAGCTTCATATTCTTATCATAATGAATATAGGAAATGTGGAACCTAATCTGAATTCAATAAAACCTGGAAAAACAAAAGCTTTATCAAGAAAAAGGAAAGCACTGCTTGGGAACAAAAGCTAATTAAAAAAATTCTAAAAAATGCCCTAGAGAGAGRAGAGAGAGAAATGTAGAGATAGTCACAGTCTGTTTAATATTGGCAAGTATGTCTAACATGACAGCACATTGAAACCAACCTTTGCCTGTACAATCCAGCATCTGGCATGGTTACAATGATTAGACTTCATAACATTTATTAGGARTCTTATGCATATTAAGCTACATACAAAAGCATGGAATTTTGAAGTATTATTTCTGCTTATTAATATCTCACAAAAAAACTTTAATTCATGGGTTTTGAKGTTTCATTCTAATATTTATTTGTTAAAGTAGTTAAGTGCTACTSTATTCATCTGGTTCATTTTTGTAAAGAAATACAGGAATTTTTTTAATGGTTGAAAAAATAAGTTGAAAACAATTGATTTAGCGTGAGTGGTTAAAATCATTAAACATAATAGAGAAAGGATTGATTGTTTATTTTACTTTGGGGACTTTAACAATTTCTACATTTTTTTTTTAACCACTAGTCAAGGAACCGTATCTTTATCCCAGAAGACATACAAAATAACCCAATGGAAATATGTGAAATATATTGGTGTAGTTMCTTCATAGTCTTATATCCAAACTTGTCCCCATAGTTTTATTTCCAAACAGGGAATAAAAGAATGAATCCATTTTTCCATCCCTAACTTCCATTCTTGGGTAGGTAGATGTAATACTGTGCACTACTCYGTGCCTCTAAGGAAAATCTATTTCCTTTGCCAAATTGTCACTCACAAGTTATCTGGAACCACCATAGTTCTTCCCATTCTCCTCCATTTTCAGACATCTTTAAAAGAGGAATATACTTATTCTGATAGTTTATGGGCGTTCTCCTGCACAAYAATATTCCAAAGTGCTATGTCATATTGTATATGATATCAATATAACACCAGCAAGGCCAGTAATTTAAAGGTGTTCAGCTCTTCTGCCTTGTGAAGCACTGGCTTGGGAGGACGTCCCCCCAAAAAAGCAGGTGGGGTAGCTTTGGGGTGCAGCAAACTGCCAAGGAAATGCAGGAGATCATTTTATAAGCTCCTTTTCCTTCCCCTCATTCAAAGCTCCTGTAATGGTTAAGCTTGCATTTTTTCCCACAAAGAAAAGCAGGAAAATCACTATTTTTCATTGTATCCCTTTAAAATATAGAATTCTAATCGTTCAGGTTCTAGTAGACACACTTGACTCTTAGAAAACAAAAATTTCCTCTCCTCATAACATTGCACCCAGATTTGACTGTTCCTTTTTATGAGGATGTCCTTTCCTGTCTGTCTRTGTATCCATCCATCCTTATGTCTTTTATATATATATGTGTGTGTGTGTGTATATATATATGTATATATATACATATGTATATATATGTATATGTGTGTGTATATATACACACATATATACATAAAAGACATGTATACATAAAAGACATAAGGATGGATGGATAAACAGACAGGCAAGGACATATATATATATATAAAAGCTTGTTCTTACATCATCTAGAAAATCATATTCTTTATTTTTGCTAAAAAGCATTTCATGTTWGAAGTGCTTTTGAGAGGTTATATCTGACTCAGCCATTGCGATTCTTTCCAAGATTAGTAATATTAATAAACATGCATACACTGATACATTTATTTGGGACTTTTTTTCCATTGATAATTATTAATCATCAAAATTTATTACTTGCTATATGGCCTCCCTTGTATTCCAATATGCTTTGCGAGACTTCCGTGGGCTGAAAGGACTGTGTTAATACAGCATAGTTAGTGCTAGCAGGTTAAAGACAAACACAGAAGTTATTTCAGACATTTAAAATTTACTTTAGTGCTGTGATACCCCTAGTATAGTGATTTGTCCCATTTAGCAGGAGGCCAAAGATTGAGCTCTTTATCTCAGTCTTGCTTCTGAGATATAGCGAGCTTGGCCGTTTCAGGGAGGTCACACATGGTCAAAGTTGCACGCTTTTGACTCCCAGCTCCAGTCTGGAGAAAAGCTCAGCGCTGGGCTGCTCTTGAGCCGTGCAGTAAAAATTACAACAGTGCRAAGATTTAACAGGTCCCTCTACGCAGATCAAGGCTACTGTAACACCTGAAGCAACAAAAACCACGCTAGGTTCAGTCAGCCCCTTCTTTCTCTGTTTGCCATGTGTTTTCCAGAGCAGGTGAAAAGCAGATCTCCACACCTCTGGGGGGCTGGGATCTTCATTACTGCTAATTTGCCACACCTGGAGGTAGGTTAGAGTGTGCTGGAAGCTTCCAGGAGAGGAGTGAAGGTGGTGTGCTGTGGGCATCTCTGCAGGGCTGCTCCTGAGTCTGGGTGGCTTCTTTGAGGAGGAATGTGGAAAAAGAWGGTGAGTTGCCTTCTGTTTTTGGGGGGAAGCCCCTTGTTTGGCCCTGGGAAGGGAGAAGCAGGAACAGGTTAAGGGATAGGGCTGTGATCTGGGCCCCTGTGGCAGGGGATAGGCTGCTCCAGCCCATAGCAGAGATACTGTTACTTCCACTGCACTTTTTGTCAGTCTTTTATTTGTGTTGGCAGACAGAAAGGTAATAGCATTGGATTTAAGTGAGGCTTAAAAAGGGAGAGAACAGGAATTGCCGCTTGCCTCTTCACCTCCTTGAACGTCACAGTGTATCCTGTAAGTGATGTTTCTCCCCCATAGTTAGAAGGAGGCGGAGGGAGCTACTTGGTAAATGTAGCTTTGCGGTCTGAGTTATAATGAACTAGACCTGTTGGTATGGGGGAATTGAACTTACCTGGGCATGCTGTTTTAGCTGGAAGGCTCCCCAGCTTACTTTCTGTAAGAGAAAAACTTTGGTTCTTGTTATGTGTTTTTCTATGAGAATCTCAAAGATTTCCTATGAGGGCAATATAAATTTAATAAATAATTACTAGTTGGTAATTTAATTTTTGAGCTTTTTTTTCTTGAAGTAGTTAAATACAGTAAAATAAAATAAAAGATCTTACTCCAGAGCCAATACAATGGAACAAAGAAAGGAAATTATAAAACTAAAATTATGAAGAGTTTAAGTGTTGTTACAGGTTCTGTTGAATCTCACCTATAGAGCAGAACCTGGAAGAAAAAAAAAAAGCATAAATTAGATGCACATTTCAAGCTGAAAACCTGATTTCAAACTAAATCCTGCATTTAATCTGCAAGTGCAGTGYTTGAGGAAGCAGCACGGACACAGAGCTGTGAGCAGTTAGCGTCACTTGATGCGGCACGTGCAGGCATTGCACTAGCAAATGTGGCAGAGCTCCCCTTCTGTCCAGTCACTTTTGCCAGAGCTCTGCAGGGACAGAGCTAGAGACTTGCCCTGGGTGCCCCTGCTCCATGTACAAGCCATGCTGGAATATAACTGGGAGATCCAGGTCACTTTTCTGGATGGAGGCAGCCTTAATGCTATGCAAGTGTATTTGAAAAGAAACCCTCTGTGCTCTTTGCAGGCACCCTCTTAATGAGAGATGGTCTTATTTAATCTCAAATTTCAAACTGTGTGTGTTTTTGCATGCTAAGTTTACCTTCAATGGTTGCAGCTGAGTGCATGAAGCCAAAAGGGCTGTGCTCTGACTGAGCCTTCTTCCTTGCACTGCTGAGGGAGGAGGGGGAAAAGGATTGAGCAGGAAGAGGTCACGCATCCAAAACCGCCTCCAGTCACCTGTGCTCTTTATTCTCAGAGCAATGTGGTGAGATGTGTGTATATATATATATATATATGTATCTCTAATAGAGAAAAAGAATAATATTCATGAGTCCTATGAGTTTCTCTGTGTTTCATGTCTTAGGAAACATGACCATAGACTTTCTTGTACTTTTGAGAGAATGCATTTGGAATTGCTGATGTTGTATTATCATTCTGCAAAGGAATTCCTTTGCATGCTCACAGAGAGCAAGGGGAAATAGTATCTTTCTCCTCCAGAGTATAAAAATTAAAGAAGAATCTCTAGTAATATAGGTATAAACTGTGTTTTCTTTTCTTTTTTTTTTTTTTTTTTAGTTTTTATTTATTAATTTCCTTTCCAAAATCTGTCTGTCCTGGAAGTCTTTTGGAGTAAACTTTTGACTATCACTGTGTGCCATCAGTCATGATGATGTATGTGGGAGCCCTAGCTAACACTGTGGTGTACCTAATATCTGTTTCTCCATAGGAGTTTAGTCTCATGAATATTGAATAAAGCAGCAGCTGGCTCCGTTCAAACTTTTATACGTATTTAAAAAAGAAAGTAAGGCTGTAGAAAGTAGATTCTTACTCTTCCTCCCCCACTTCCCAGCTCTCTTCTCTGCTTCTGTGACATTCCTTAAAATATCAGTGTCCCTCTGCACAGAACATGCTGTGGTAAATGACTGGCAGCATTCACAAACCAGGGAAAATTGTACATTGAAAGGCTGTGGGTATATTCAAGCACCAGCAAGAAGCTAGATCTCATCAACAGTTGAGATAACCTATCGTGACTTGGCAAGCCACCACTTGTGTTTATATTCAGTATTTCCTTTAAATTCAAAAGCCGGGCATTTTGCACAGAGAAAGCAATTATGTGCCCTCCCTATCCGTTATTACTAGACAAAAAGTCACCACCGGTTATTGCTGGAAGGAAGCAACAAGTGGCTTTGTTCTGATTCCTCTTTGCTGCTGTGTCACTCTCAGTATAAGTCCACCACTGTTTTGCCAGTCTATGTCTATATGTGTAGACATGGCCTACTCAAGGGTGAGAGCCCCAGATATGAGATCCCTAAAGGGAAAGGTTGAGGGCTACAGTGGTCATGATGACTACAAGCTGGAGCTTAATGAGCAGAGTCTGCTTTAGCAGCCAAGGAGTACCTGATACGTAACCCTTGCTCTTACTGCTAATTTTTTTTTTCAGTCAGATATTGCCCTGGTATTAACATCTGGACRCCGCTACGGATGGTAGAGAGAGTCCTCCAAGGGAGGTAAGCACTTTTGTTTATAAAGGACTTGCAAAATATGTTATGAAACCTTATTGGATTGCTTGCTCTAAAGGTGGAGGTGTGATTAAGTTTGCCACAAGGCTGCTTAAGCCTGCTGTTAAGCACAGGAGTTATTCTGTTGATATTGGAAAACTATTCACGTGCTCAATTACCTTCATGCTAAAGTGCCTTCATGAGCTGGAGCTTTTATCTTCAGTATTTATCACCTATTTTAGCATTCATATTAATTTTTTAAAGTTAAAATATTTAAAAGATTAAGTGTTCATGATCAATCACGTAACATTTTTGAAGGTTTACTTGTGGTGTTTTTAAAATGGCTGTGCATATCTGGCCTTTGCCAGCCTGTACACAGATGAGCTCTGTAAAGCAAGTCATCTCTTTGTAAAAAGAAATGGAAAATGAAAATCCGTCAATAAAGATACCTCTGTAGATACATTAGAGAGGACACAGAGATAACAAAAGCCAGAAAGTGGGGGGATAATTCCACAGGTAGCTAGCGAAATTATAACCCTGTATTTTCTGTCCTGGCTTACAAGCTGTAATGAGACCCAGGGAGTGAATGGTATAAGCCTCCATTTTTCTTAATGACAGTAGCAGTTAATGAATTTGACTTAGAGATTCAAGGCTACACACTAGCTTTATCAAGGCTGAGYGTTTCACAATTAGAAGGTCTGATTATATTTGTGAAATAATTTACTCATCAAACACCGCTATTAAATTTAGGATGCTTTTACAGCACTATTTCTATTGTTGTTTTCACATTCTATTTCACCGGCAATAAATCATTTTGAAGCAATTCATTTTTTACACATTGAGAGATAGACAGCAGATCCTGAACTCAGCAGGTGACACATTAAATTCAGAGACTTGTCAGTCATATTTAAAGCATATGGCTAACTCCTACAGCAGATCACTCCAGCGGAAAAAAACAGTTTCTGTGTAATTCCGTATCCGTGTCAAGCTGAAATAGCATTTTAGTTTTGCTTACCTAGATAAAGAAATCCTTATGAATATTCCATGCCTTGGCACGTAATACTAGTTAAAGACTATGCAGTGGCCATCTATAAACCCTGGAGTTTTTACCTGGCAAGGCCAGACCAGAACTGTTGATCGGCATCACTTTGATAAGGCAACATTTGCATTTTCCCCCTAGAAGATAAACTGAATAAATAAAAAGCCAGAGTGTTATTTCTTATTGTTTGAAAAAGAGGGTAATACTCGAGACGTCCCCACTGTTTCTCCTTTGGCCATAAGCTTGGAAGTAGGGAAGAGAATTTTTTCCAAGCCTCAGGGTTCATTCTGTGAAATGCAGAGCCCAGGAGCTCTGCAACACTTGCTCTTGCATGAAGGGGACACCTCTAGTGCTGTTCCTCAAGCTCAGATTGTTTGTATGAATATTTTTCCATTTAAATCATTGATAACATCTGGGAAGGTTATAAAATAAAGTAGGAGGAGCACACGAAGGATAGGATTATCACTGAAACAAAACAAAACAATTATGTTTGTTTTTTACACAGTTAAAATTGGTTAATCTTCATTTCAGACTGCTTTAGGAAAAACTCTTCTTGTGCTACAATGTGCAGGTGTGATTTACTCATATTGTTATGAGGGAACATCTGTTYTGATCATTGTCTTGTGCAGCCAAAGTTAGGTTGTGGCATGAAGTTGTATTGGATTTGAGCTTTCCAAACCAGATGATGCAAAATTTTTCTGTGAAAATAGAGAAAAGAAAAACAAATGAAAACAGAGAAGAACATTGAATAAGTCTGCAGTAATTAGGTATTCTTTTTAGGTTTCTATCTTTATTTTGCTTTTTATGCTTGTAGTGTAGAGGACTCAGTAAAACTCTGATTTTTTCTGGATTTTTCAAATCTCTTCCTTCAGCAAATATATAGCKTTAGAGGGATATCTTATAGTATGAGATATTACAGGATACTGTAGCTGGAGGTGTTTTTACAAGTGTCAGGTAGAAATTCAGAGCACTGCTGGGAAGCAGTATGTTGTGATGGTCTGTTGCCATTTGCTCTATATCAAGAATGTTGAGATTTTAACTAGGTCATGATCTGAGTATTATTTTTATTGCAATTATGATTCTGTGGGAATGTGTTTTGTTCTCCAATACAGCTTTTCTCTGCTCACAAATCAGCAATCGAGTACATTTCCTTCCTTCAGTGATAGCCATTAAATTTGTAGATAAAGGAGAGTAAGTACAGGCACAAATGTRACAGATGTGACTTCCTAATTGACATTTATGAGGGAAGCCCTTGGTGCACTTTCATACCAGCACGCCACTGCGATTTCCCCCAAGTGAGGTGATAGTTCTTGCTCAGCGTGTGTAGGAAAGGTCAGCTGCAGAGGCTGACGCTCTGCTCCTCTTCCTCCTCCATCGGTATCTTGTGCATATCAAACCTCTGTGTGAACTTCTGTATCTCTTGAGTGCACCCTTCTTTCCCATTCCTTCACGAAGTGAAACTGCAGAATGTAAGGGGAAATAAGAGAGAACACGTTCTTGGCATTGAGCTGTGGGCAAGTAAAGGTGACTAAATTTGCCTGTGTGAGAAAGTAGCTAACCTACAGACCTGAGGGAAAATTACAAGAGTTCTGGTAGAAAAGCGATCCTGTAGAAGTGTGCTGTCCTCTGAGTGTCTAGAGAGCAAATAAAACTACAATGGTGGCACATAAGGACTAAGGATATCATTCCTTAAACTCTTCACACAGCCAGCTGCTCTTACAAAGATTTCTGAAAGCAGACTCAAGAAGYGCAGATGGATGCATCTATATCCAGTTTTTGTGATTTATGCTGACATGGCATACGCTACCAATGCTGAGAATTATTTTCCCCTGACATAAAGGTCTCTCAATAATTGAAATTTGACCTGAACATGAGGAATTGGTTGGGGTAGTTCAGTATTATCAAATTTTCCATAAATTTCTTGAATGGATTGACCTTTATTATCTTTTTGAAACTCTAATGTTTCCCATTGCATCACCGTGCTGGCCTGAATTTATGTCTCTAGCCCTGTGGAGCGTGATGTGGAGATTAAAGGTGTGCTYGTTCTTTCCTTCTCCTCTCTTCCCCCTGCATCCCTGCTCCTGTTCAGCTTTAGAAACGTTTACAGAGCAATGGGAGTTTTCAGCCTCCTAGTTAAGAGGATTAGCCAGGTGGAAGCCACCTAAAGCATTAACAGTTTGGGAATGAACGTTGTCATTTACCCTCTGAATCGTTAAATTCTTGTGCTTTCTCTTTGATGGTATTGATTGCCCTGCAGCTTCCCTCAACCTCCCTTTTACTATTGCACATACAGGTGTTTTTCCTTGCTGTTAGTGCACATGTGCTCTTATACACATGCAAAAAACTTCTTCACAGTACTTCTCTATTTGTGATATCAGGTTATTCTGTCTTTCTCATTGCCAATACAGTCAGGAGGTGCGTTAGCTCCTCCAAGGTGCAAAACTGTTCTTACTGTTTCAGAAGTGGCAGTTCATGGGCRGACTGTGTTCTGCTTAAACTCTGGTCACTCTTGGGTAATTCTGGAGAAAAATCTGTTCCAGTTTATTTCTGAACTGGGAAAAAATGCTCCTGTGAGCAGTTTTCAGTGTATTCATGCTGCTACCAGGTTTATGACTTTCTCTCATATAAGCACTTCAGGGCATTCTGTCTGCTTAGTGTGTATGTGTACATATGTATGTATGGATTGCTCGTTTTTCTTGCATTTTGTTGTTCTCCAGAAGTCCTTTGCAACTTCAGTTTTTCTAGAGATCAGTGATTCTGTTTTACCAGGGTGCATGAGATGGTTTTATAGAGCAGTGGTTATCAGCATGTTATACTTCGTGACTGCTGTTACATTCAATACAATTATGTATTGAATTCAATTCAATATTCAATTCAATTCAATTCAATATTCAGTATTCAATACAGTTACAGTTCAATACAGTTATTCAATTCAGTTATGTCATGAAAAGCACATAAATTAGGCTGCTTTAAATGCAAATATATGCTTTAGAATAGCCAGTTTCAAAAAGATGGAAACAATATGAGCTATATCAGCTGTGAGAAAGTAGTTAGTTATAAAAATCTGAAGGATATTGGAGAAATATTTAAGATATCTCCCTATAAGCAATGATGTGTTTCTTCAAGGCTTAAGAGAACTTAGACATGTGCATACTGCTTCATGTCTCTGTGTCTGGGAATATTCAATTTAGTTCTTTCTGAGTTACCTATTCATAGGTTTTGGTGATGAAATATAAAATGTTTTCTATGAAATTATGATATCTTTTATGTGACTGTTGGAGTTTTTCACAAGCATGCAATTATTAAAACTTATAGAAATGTATTGATCTAGTAGACCTACTAAGTAGTTCTTAATTTTGAAAAGAACTGCATGAAAGAATTGCTAATGCTTTTATGAGACCTAAGTATTGTATATTGTATCTGTTCATCGTGGCAATATGCATTAAAATATCTTTTTGTTTCACTATGAAACTTTTTTTTATTTTCCTGGGAGAAATTGCTACTTGCTTTTGGAGTCTAAAGCTCCATGGAGAGATCAAGATCAGAATAAACATAATTAGTTAAGAAAGCCAATTCTTCATGTTTAGTGAAGTATAGACTAACATCTGRAAAAGATCCATTTGGAATAACCCGAGTTATAACTGCTTACTGTTACTCTACTGATGTTAATGATGTTGCTCTCTAGGTTAACAAGATGCCATAATTACTGTTGTTGTTATGGTTCTCTTAGGACATTTCTTGGAAGATCATATGTACTTTTTAATTATTGAACTCTTCGGCAACTTCCCCTGGCATCAGGGAGTGCAGTTTATTCTGGGAAGTGGCAATGCTTTTCCCCCTTTTCATGCCTTGGGGAGGAGAATTAGGAGYGGGTTCTTAATTATATACATGTATATAATATACTTGTATGGCCTAATCCACTTCCTGACACGTTAAATGGAGAACTGAAATGCGTTTGATGCACATCATCTTTGGTATTGTAAATGAATGAGAATGGCAGAACGTTTGTATTGGGAAATTGTATTTTGTAAATCTGTTCTTTGCAGTGGTTAGTAAACTAAGCATTTGGTCCCAGCATCATTCATAGGTGCTTTAAATGTCCTGTTTTCATTAGAAGCACATAGTAAAGGAAAAAAAAAAACAGATTTCAGCTGTTATAAAAATCTATGTAGTTTGACTAAAATTGCTTGCGTATTTGCTGAACGCAATTTTCACTTGTGTTTCTATTTTTTGTTTGAAGTATCCTCTTTATTGTTTTATTGTTTATCCTCTTATGGTGATCAGAAAATATTTGATAATTTCCTAGTTTGGCAAGCACTTATTAACACCAGATATATTTTTACTTCATTTTTCCAATTACTGTAGTTAGGGAAGATTTTTTTTTTTTTTTTTTTTTTTTGCTTGTTTGTTTAATATTATTCACTGCAACATAGAGGTAAGTTGGCTTCTTAGGTATCTAGAACTTTGCTTGGAGTATGGTGAGGTGCACTGCAGTCGTTACTGTACTATATCAGTAGTGCATCTACAATGTTTTTCAGTCTAAGTTATGTAATTCTATTCTGTAAATCTCCTCTGCAGCCACTAAGTTTTGTGCTTATCATGAGCTATGAAACAATGCTGATGGAATACACTTACACAAGCTATAAATGCTAGGTGTGTAGGATCTCTTCCTGGAGAAATGATGTTTTTGCCAGGCTTGCAGTTTTGTTTTATTTTTATTGCATTTTTCCAGAACCCCAATAGTTGTTTGGACAAGGAAATGGTTTCTTCTATCATTGACCAAATGTCCATTTCATTGATTGAGGTATTCCTTATTTGATCTTTTCTGGACACTAGAATTGAGGGACAGGAATGAAAGGCAATGAGGGAATTCGAGGTTTTCTCCCTGTTGATCTATAGGCAGGAGTCTACCCTCTTTTCTCCTCTCTTTAAATCAGTCTTTATCAGTCGCAGTTTGATATATTTCAAACTTGCTGGCAGAGTATTAAAATGATTAATATCAAATATTCTTTGTCAAATCTTTCTGGGAGGATTTAGGGAAGGTAAACAGTGCTATAAGTAAATAAACAATACTGTCAGAAAATTGAAATGTTTATTTATAAACTAGTACTTAGACAAGCTTTTGTTGATAATGTTTTTATTTCAAATGAATATGCAGTTAATTTACATACATTTCTTTTAATTCTACATTTCTGTGGATGTAAATATACTTATTTTTAAACAGTAATATGTCTGTCTCCTACTCTTTCTCTTATCTGGTCTATGTAGTATTGCCTCCATTTCTTCTGTGCTATATATATAGGTTTTATTTTTTTTTAGCTCATGTACTCTTTCATCTAGATGTTTCTTTAAGAGAAATAAAAAAGACCTCTTTTACGTTGGTATACTTGGTTTTATATGTGTGTATATATATTTAAAAGAAAAAAAAATGAAGGGATCATAACTATTCCATAGCAAGGATATAACTAAATGTTTGTCTCTGCCCAAATAAATTTCTCTCATGTACAGAGGACAGCAGTGGCAACCAACTGTTAGGTTAGAGGAAGTCAAGACCTCTTCTGAGTYTGAAGTTAACTTCACAGGATCATTCCTGAATCACAGAGTTCAAAGCAAGAATCTATTTAAAATGATGTCTGATAACTTCAGACCTGTCTTCCTTACATTGTTATGAAAAATGTTACCAGTTAGTTGCTGATGTCCATCCAAAAATGGGACCCTATTGCACAGTACTGTGCTTAAGATAGTCTCCCCATACTCTTTTTCTTGTTTTTTTAAACCTGGAGGAATTTGCACCAGCCCTTTTTGTGATGATGTGGATGGATTTTATTGTATGAACATAGCTTTTGAAGGTGAGCATTTAGTGCACATTAAGGAAGAAAGCTCTTTAAGTTTACATTCTTATCAAGAATTCGTAGTAAGTTGAASCTGGATTGAAGCTTTACATACTGCAAAGAAAGTAAGTATTTTCCTCCTCCTCATTCTTCCTGAAAGTGTTTAATTCTATACTTGGAAGTTTATGGAGTTTTCTGAGCTCTCCAGAAGAAAATGAATAACTGTTACTTGAAGTTATTACTATTTCTCAGATAAACCTTTTTTTTTTCCCAGGAATTTCTATATTCTGGAAAGAAATGYGTTCATTTATTGTATAATATTTTTAACAGATTTTGTTACGCCAAAATGATTTTTATAAGATTACACCAGAATGTCACCTTATCCAGTTTTCCACGGCCCTCTGACACATGATAATCTGAATTTATTCCTGTGATCTCATGATTTTACTGGTCTATAAAAGCAAGTTACTGTCACTGTACACATTCTGAATGATAACACTTTGTCTTTACATAATGATTTACCACTTATCTCCCTCTACATTACATGTGATAAATCAACAGGTCTCTTTGTGTGCAGTAGAAGAACAGTATTAAAACCAAATTTATAGATAGGATATCAGGTAAACTGGGGCACAGAGAGGTTTAGGTTTGGCAGCGAGATGCGGGATATGCTCAGGCTGTTTTGCTTTTCAGTGTGATTTCATACATTGCTCCTTCAGCTGAATATAAGTCACTGGAATCTCAAATCATATTACTAAAACTAGCCATGCTGTGGGAGGAGGGGAAATCCCATCTTCTGCAGGTGACAGGCTTTTCCCCTGCAAAAGTGTTCGCCTTTTATACTGACACTTCAGAGCACCAATGCTATTGAAAATCTTAGTAGAGGTTTTGAACATCCATTTGTCTAGTTTACATGTTGGCAAGCAAGAGTAATTATTTGCAGTGCAAATGGATATTATGTAGTCCTCCTTACTTCTCTTACTACTCCCTCCCTTACAACTTTTCCAGTTTCTCTCTATTAGTTAGAGATGACAACTCTAAAGGTTGTACTCTAAAATAGCCATTGCTCATGTGAAGCTWTTGAATATATACCCAAGTACATGAGTATAGTAGCTTTATTCAAGATATACTGGAACCAAAACAGTAGGCCCATTAAAAAATGGGCCTAATGACAGACATTATTGYATTTATGTTTCAGCATTTGTACACTGTTTTGTAGACCACATTTTGTTCACAGTTACCACTTCCYGTACCACTAAAAAAAGTAAGGATGATCAGTGTGGCTAAGGCAATTGTCAGTTAAATTTCCTTGTTCTACAACAAAGAGGTAGAAAAAGGTGATACAGCTTCATTGGCTTCAGTGGATTGACTTCAGTGAGCTGTCTGAAGACTGCGTTTGGCCATTGGTCCAACCCTGTATTGGATCAAACTGAACTTACTGAAGGAGAAATGTTTGTCAATTGGACTATCGCTTTAGATGGGATTGCAAAATTTGTTAAAGGAACAACTATGTGTAAAAATAAAATAAAATAAAATTGCAGGATGAACTGGCAACTTTAACTCAAGACTTCCAGAAAGAACTAGACTTTTCTTAGCATGGAAAAGAAAAMCACATTGCACTAATCTGAGAATGATGCATAAACCATAGTAGTTTTTGTTTGCAAGCATATCCTTGTGAACTGGCTAAAAATGGATATAATCACTTTTGTACAACTGTGCTAAAATACCACATGGAGAGGGGAGAATTGAGTAAAATCCCTGGCTGTATACATGTGAGCTTATCTTTGACAGCCTATTATTTCCCCGGGTATTTGTTTGCTGTGGGAGCAGAACAATGGGGTCTCAGAGCCACACCATTTGGATCTAATGAAAAATATGGAGACTTTCAGGCAGGTCACTGGCTGGTGCTTATGTTCTTTTTCTGCCAACCCTAATTATTCAATTTGTGATTCAGATATAGAGGTTTTCTGTTTTCCTGGTTGAATGCTGCACATGCTGTAAGTATCTTGGGGCAACTTCTGAAATTCCTCAGCAAGGAGGAAAGTGAGCATCTTGAAGTGAACATCCTCAATTTAGTGCTGCTCTATCAGAGTACCATATTTTAGAATTATATCTCAAAGGGCGTGGGAATTCTCAGAGTACATTTGTAAGGGTAACTGTACATGCACAGTCCCACTGTATTTAAACAGGTCTGTGATATTACAGCTTGTTTAAGAAAGTTCTGTTACAGAGCCTGCATTTAGGAGGTTGAACTGATCTCACTTTGTATTACTCACTGCTTCCACCCTTCGAATCCAGAATAATGCCCTGTTCCTGTGTTGTTCTATGAAATTTTCTGTCACATCTGTAAAGCAGTATTTGGCTCAGATCAAAACACACAAAAAACAAGGAGCAAGATAGACAGAACTGTAAATATTTCCCTTTTTGCCACTAGTTTAAGCATTTTCCTTTTTGTTAATGCACTTAGGTATCCAGGCACATACCTTCAAAACAGAGACTCTTTCTCCCGAGAAACRGACTGTTTTGTTCTATGGTTGGTAGTGTCCGTGTTACGAAGGCTGAGCTACCAGAAGACTTAGCAGTGAATTGCAAGTCTGAGATCTGCAAGAGAATCTTGTGGAAGTTGGGAAGCGGACACAGGAAAACAGCACAGACTCATGGAGTCATTAAGGTTGGAAGGGTTGCTAGTGTCTTCCTACATTTCCATTTATGTCCCTAAACCCTTTCTTTCTAAACRTAAGAAGTGTAAAGACCTATCTTCAGCAGCAGAGMTGAATTTACAGAACTTATGACTTTGGGAGACTTTAATTCCTTTCCTGTGCAAGGCAATTTCAAAGTACTTCTCTGCTTTCAGAATATTTGAGTATCTGTTCAGGGATGATGTCTTGTTTCAAAGATATTGTGTTTGCAATGTGCTATCTAAGTTTGTATGCTTTTTGATGAATGGTCACTTTTGATCCTTTGCAATCCAATGATCTTTGGAGCCAAAGGGAGAGACTAGTTTTAGTAGGTTTTCAGTAAGTTGTTTCATGGAAGCCTGCGATATAGCCTAGGGGGACTGAGCTCATCAACCAAAAACACAGTTCCTGCTACAGTAGCTGCTCTGGAAGCAAACCAGGTAGCCCTGTCACAGTGAATGCCAGCCCAGATCTGCCTCATTTTGAGTTGGTGTTCCTGTAAAGGGTTCTTCACAATTACACATCTTAATATTATCTCAAGACTGCTATCCRAAGAAATAGCTTAGAAAATGGACATCTCTCATCTTTACGTGGAGGTATCCTCCCTGTTTTGTGATCATAAGCTGATGTTTCTAACACCTACGCAATGAGAAAAATGTATTTATACTAGGTCTGTCTTGTAGCTGGCATATTTTGGCCAGGAAAATGTCACTTCACATTGACCTTTTGAGAATAGTCTTAGTTGTGTATTATTATTATTATTTTTATTTGCCAGGAGTCTTTTGTTCATTTACTCTATCAGTTCAAGTCTCCTCTTTTCTTAGTCACTAACAGTAATTTGTGAATGAACTGCATCAGAATCAGAGCTGTAAGTCACTTCCAGAAATGTTAATCAATTTGGGTTGCATTTGAGCTTATTGGTAGCATTCCTTTTTCCCCACTATCTGTGGCTCCAGTATTCTGACTCCAGAGGAGTTCTTTTGGTCACCCCAGGGGCTTATTGAACCCTGTGGCAATCTCTTTATTTTATAATGAGTGTGTTTCAAAGGAACCATCACTCAAAATTGAACTTGGACAGAAGAGCAACTATTGAAATAGACCTCAAAATGCAGCTGAATCCTTAGGACAGGTCAAGGGCTTGGAGTGGATGTATATCGAGRAATTAAACAGTTGTTTTCTTGTAATGCTTCCTGGGTTTGTGGTCCTCACTCCCTTAAATAGCCTTTGTGATAAAGGCACATGAAGCAGAGCAAATGCTGAGTTCTCCTGTAATMCTCACCTCAGAGTTAACAAGTTTCAAGGAAGCTCCACGTACTTCCTTCAGTGTCTTAAGTTGTAGATGGTGATAATAAGATCAACAATTGCTCAAGTTCCCTGTGGTATTTCTGCAAACCTCAACTGAGGTAGACAAAATTTATTTTTCCCCACTGCTGACACATAATGACAGTTTATCAGAGCCACAGATTCAACAAGTCACATCATCACCAATGAAAAGAAGAGCGAGCTTGATGCCTGGGCAGGTTTCTAATAGCTTTCCTCAAATCCTGTGGGTTGCTGCAATTCCATTACTTATTCTCAACTCCAGATTCTCAGGGAACCTTCACAGGGACACATAATGATTTTCAGAAACAAGGCTTAGAGTGGAGTGGACACATTTGTGAATGCTGATTTCTCAAAGTGCCATTTGAACTTTTCAGGCGAGTTTCAGGATTCAGTAGTAACAAGAGCTTGTAAAGAACAAAGTGCTAGTTAATGAGGTCTGTGTTTCATTTCTTTTTCTGTATTTGGCACCCTATGGATCTAAATATTTGATATATTATTAAAAATATAAAACTGACAGTGGTATTCAAACTCAAGTAATTATAAAATGCCCTCTTATCTCTACACAGCCCTGAGTCTTGTAGCAGGATAAACACTTAAGAGAATGTTTCATCTTCAGCAGAACAGACAATTTAATTTCTGTCCTGTATGATATATTTTTCTACCCATGGAGTACCAAAATGCTTTACAAAACAATCAAATAAATAGCAAAGTGAATTTATGGGCAAACATAGCAATTTGTATCATGCTCAGCAAAACTAAATGAATGTTTTGCTCTAAACGTGGATGAAATTCTTCTGGYTTAGTGCTCCACTGAAAATAAAAATTTGCAGAATTCACTTAATGTTGGGTTGGCTTTTGAGCTTTGTCTTCGCTACAGCACAGTGATTTGAATTTKTCGCACAATTTATGGAAAACTGAAGATGCAGTGAACAGAAATCAAAGGGCTAATAGCTTCATAGCCGGATCTATTACATATGAATAGCAGAATTATAGTAACTCTTCAGTTAATGRTTTAAAGTATGAAATCAAATTGAAATTGCAAAACAAGTTCACAAATAGGAAAAGGACTAAACTTGTGACACTGACACTGATTTGKTCTCCTAATTCTCTCTTTTTTGGAGGGACTAGATTTTTCCTATTGAAGCTTTAATCCCTTTACATGTAATTGCATATTCACCATTGATGTAAACTACTGAAAAGATAAAGGAAAAAGGACTATATGGTACCTCAAGCATTATAGCGATGTTGTTGCTAYCGGTAAAAGCGTGGCTGTGAATCTTCATGTTTGCAGGGGAGACTGGTAGCCATGAAATATATTGGAGAAAAAAATAAGGGAAAGGCAACCTCAGATGGATTTAAYGTTGATATCAGTACCATAAATTGGAGGGAAAGTCGGTATCCATGCTGATTTGCTAGACATTACTGCAATTTGAGAAGTGATTGTTTCTTCTCATGCAAAAAATGTTTCCTGTTGTGCAGTTTGCTGCACAAGCTGGATCATTTGAATTTAACACTTCAGTGCAAATGGGCAACACAAGCAGGCGAGGCAGTGTTACTGTTGCGGTGCGAAGTTTGCTATAAAACAGCAAAACTAAACAAGCATACTCGAGCCCAAAGCTCTTGGAATGAGCTGGGTTGAAAATCCTAGGTTAACACTGAGAGTTTTTCTAGCATTCTTAATGTGCATTTGCCATCCACAGAAAATTAATAATTTTTTTAAAAAAGTCTTGTTTATTTACCACAAAGAAACTCATTTTTACCAGTACTTTTTTGAACACTTTTGAATCTGTAGCGGTTCACATTGGTTGACAGTCTAGTTCACAGTGACTTTCAGGTTCAGGGGAAACACAAAATAYAGAAACAGAACTTGGTTATTACTGAAGTAATAATCTGCTACACCTGTGTAACCGTTAAAAGGCATTTTTGTAATACTGTGGTTAATCRGGTACCTATGCCACAACTTTTTAAAAAACAAAACCATTTAAACATTCTTTTGTTTAAAGAAACAAAAACATGAAGGACCTCCATTGGTATTAACTTTTTTTGTTCTTTGACTTTGACTCCAACTGGAATAATTTGTTTAGTCTGAGGTTTCATAACATGACAATGTCCTCTGGCCATGTTTGYGTAGAGGAGAAGGGAAAAGGGAAGGAAAAATAAGAATAATAAAAAGATTTTTCTCATCTCTATTTCAAGTATAGATTACTACTACTCTTCAGAAATACTGCACATGTGAAATAAAATATACTGCCAGGCTTATATTGCTTCATTTTAGCATTGACCTTAATGTAGCTTCCCCTCTAGTAGAGCTGTTGTGCCACCTTCACCATGGCACTTTGATTGTCACTTGGCATCTGATGGGCAATTGTATGGCAATCTTAAAATTACAACAGAAGTATGGTCAGAGTTTCACCTAAAATTTCAAATGATGTCATTGCTCTGAAGCCGAAGCTCTCTGAAGTCTGGGTCATATATCCTGTTTTTCTAGAATTCACTCTGGGCAATTTTGCAAAGGTTTACTGGAAATGAGCAAATGTAAGTAGACACTGGGAATTAAAGATAAAGACTAATGGAAGGCTATTAATAAAGTCACTTTTATTCAGGCATCTCCACCACCTCAGCACTATTTGAAGAGTCTCTTTGTGTAATGAGCAAGTTCAGGTACTTTTAAAAAACAGAATAGGAAAAAGCTGGAGCCTTTGCAAGGAAATATGTCCTGACAGTTGACAAATTTACTGTTGTATACTCATAACACTATTAAGCCAAATCATTTGTCACTATTTAAAGTATTCTGAGCCTCAAATAGGAAAAGGATATGGAAATAAAGAAAGTAAAASAGCATTTAATCTATGCTGGCACTGGAGAAATTGTCCAGCTCTTGTATAGGTCTTGTAAAGTTCCTTTAATGTTTGCAATCATAACAATATTTGTAGATGCCCAACTAAAGTATCCAGAGGTTCATCCTGAAGTRTCTCATGCCTTTCACAATATCCACTATTATTAAAAAATCACTAGACGTTTTGACATCTTAAAACTTATTAAGTCAATAAAGCACTACACACTGCTGTCCTATGCTCTCTCTATATATATTTATAACAACTTCGCTTTTGGAAATGCTTTCTTAGACAGCATTTCTAGCCTGTGCCAGCCTGATCTATGATTTTTATCATTTCTTCAAGTGCCTGCAGTGACCTAAGCTGAGGTTGCAGTGACTGTTTCCATTTCATGTTAAATCATATATGAATCAAAACTGTCCTTTTTTTAAGACAAAACAGGAATAGGTTCATCYTTTCTACCAATGAAACCTCTATGTGTTACTTGTGCTCACTGTTTGTTGTCAACATTGATAGTTTTATAGCAAATTCTCAACATCAACAAGGATGAGTTTCCCAAATGTACCTCAAGTAGCCAATGCTATACTCTAACTGCAGTTTCAAACTATAGGTATATAGTGTATTGTAAAATGTGATGGTTGAAATAAGTGATATATGGAATGATCGTGATGGCAGGAAGTGCCATTTCTGAAGCAGCAGAGCTGTGGGGAAACAGGCTTTTTTTGCTTTTTTTTTTTATTTCTTTTTGAAGTGTGTGTTGTGTGTAATAGTGTGAACTGCTTTGCAAAATACATGACCATAAAACATGTTCTACTACATTAATTGTTTTCTTTTAATCTGTTTATTGTTCAAAGTGAGTTATAAACTTCAGAATTTATCTTGACCTTGCTCTAATAATCTTCATTCTCTGGTATATGGCTGGTATATCATTACCTTTCTTATTTTAATCAGTGATGTATTTTAAAAGCCTTTTAATACAGTAAGCCTTTTCTTTTCATCAAGTACTCCTTCAGTAATTTCCTGGGGGGATTATTATATAAGTCGCTCGACCATAAYAGTAAGACTAGGAAATAATTAATATTGAATAAGGGGTCAGACTAGCTGGTACTGTAGTTTTCTGTTTCTGAGTTTTCTAAATATTTTAAGTCTTTCAGTTTTGGAATAGAGGAATTAATCTGTCTTTAATATTCTGTATTGCAATCTACCTGTCAGAAAGTACACTTTCAGTTTGGGAAGTTCAATGARTTTCAAGTAGGAAGGAAGTATATTGTTTTCCTATGAAGGTGCACAAAAAAGTTAGGACTGTGGTTTTGGAAATATTGAAAATAAGTTGAATGGACTTTTTTTTTATATGTATGAGATTTATGATGCAGGGTCCTGAATTATTAAAGGCAAATACTATTCAGGCTTTTGTGACCCTTCCTGACTTCCCTAGATTTATGACCTAAGCCATCTTCCCCACGGCTTCTTTTTTAGCTTCAGACTTCAAACACAGTTTTTAATGATAGCAAATATAAAAGTTAAAAGAAGGGGACTTGATCTTGTTTCCTGGACACTGTGAGCAGATAAGAGTGGCACAAACGTAAGCTCTTAACTTCGATTGTTAAATGTTTGAAAAAATAGGGGCAAGGGGTGGTCAGAGGGAAATTCCTACAAAGTTTCTACCTGCTGTCACTTATATAAGAAAAATGAAAAAAAAAAAAAACTTATGAATGAAAAAAAAATCCTTAGGATGCTTTTTTTCCTAGTATTGCATAGAAATGCTTTTTTATTTCAACTAATGCATTAAGTGAAGTAATTACCATGCCATAGAAGAGGATAT